CGCTTCTCTTTCAGTCCTAAGCTTCCCGAAGCATCGAACCAACGGGCGATCCCGTCTTGTTCCAATGACCGACTCGACCGTCCGAGGCGTCAGACGGCACCGAAGGGACAGTGGTGACCGACTCATCTGGATCGAAGTCGACAGAAGGTTTCTTTCAACGTGAGAACCAACGACCTGCAGACTATATCAGAAGACACCCAAAAGAAGCACCATGCCTTTCGGAAGGTTTCTTTATAGTGACTATGCCTTCTTCTGATAGAAGCACCCGAATTCTTAGCATCGGACAGCCACTGCTGGGAGGTGTGCAGCACAAAGCGGATCGCCGCCGCAGCGGCCTCCCACTCGAGTCGATCAGAGGGCCCACGGCCGGCTCGTCCAGTCGTCGATCGCCATGGAGCAGCTCTTATTGGGTGCTTCGATCTGGATGGGTTCCAGCTTAGAGCTTCACAAAACATCTTGATCAACAATGAACAACATCTGGATCCTTCATATAGGATTGGTATCGGCATTCTTACTTCATGTCGAAACAGGATGAGCACCTCGAAAAAGAGTGTTGCAACATGGAGAACACGCTTTCCAAAGAACACCTCAACTGAAACAGACCGTTTTGTTGCTCCCCACTTTTTGCACTTTTCGTCTCCCCAAAAAAGTGACGTCCGCCTCTTTAGGGTCAGTACTTACATGCGTGGCCCAGTGGGGACTCGAGTCGGACTCGAGGCAAACCCACTTACAGTAAATATCTTAAATCCAAAAATCCTCTGAATAAACATGAACCTTGTTCTTCAAAGTGACCGACCTTGATATCTCAGTTTAAGGTCGCTTGGGCTTGTACAAGGTCACTGGGAGGCACTCCAAAGAGGTCACTGTGAAGAAGCTGGAAATCACGGATCCAAAATATCTCCTGCAATGCGTTGTCTCTGTAGTCCACCTCCAGGTCGGGAGGTGGGAGCATCATGACCTGAAGAATTCCAAATTCTTGATCATTCCAGTGTTCGAAAACCCACCGCACCTCCGCGCGAGTATCCGCACACTCCCATCTTCGTGCGCCACTCCGCCAGCGAATGCGTCGGCCATGCGTCGCTACGTGCCGAGGTTCACCGGTGTACCGGCCCAGTCGGGACCGAGGACCCCCATGGAGGGCTTTTCGGGGGACCCAGGAGCGGAGTGTCTGTCACTGTATGATCTGGAAACAGGTGAGGAATGTTCTGAAAGAGCCAAAAAGAACTCACGAACAAATCCCAAAGCATTTGGACGCGAGGTCACCCAAACTTGGCAAGCCGAAAAAACCGGGCTCAAAGCCCTCGCCGAGTCATCGAACTCGTCGGGTGAGATGCAATCACGGAATCACGGGGGCCGTAAGCTGCCGGGTAAGCTGCTGTGCCTCACCTTGGGCATGTTCAAGAAGCGCATGAGCTGCTCCTCGCCATCAGACAAGATCTCCGGCCTCATCCGAAGAGTCTCGGTCTCGGTCTGATCCGAGTCCAGGGAACGTGTGGGTTCAGAAGGGTCCAACAATCAGTCGGTTCTCTCTGACACCATTGAGTGAGATGTTGGTGATGTCACCCAACATGTCAACTTATGTCCATCCCCAATCAACTATCTTTGGTTTGATCCTTCGTCCTTGGTGTAAGAAAACAAGGGGGCAATCATGGGTCACCATACTGGCCCTGCCCCTGTGCAAGAAGTCCTATTGTTTGCAACAAAAGTCAAGGATATTCAAGGATGGTCTTGAAACATCCTGAAACAAAAAGAGAGATCACTGCCAAAATGATCCAAGATGGGTCAGTGAGCAAAATAAACATATGCCTTCCACCCCCCCCGTTCTGGGTTGAGAACATAGTGCAAATATGCAGTCCTTAGACGTTAATATAGAAAGAACGCCGTCCTCTCCGAGTGCCGTTGGTCCAAACAACTCTGGTCCTAGGAAATATTACATACCACTGCTATCCACCGCTTCTAAAAGGTGTGGATGGTAGTATGGTAGGACTTACTCAGACTTACTGTACCATGTGAGCGGCAGCATTTATTCATTGAATGCTCAAATATAAGCTATCTATAACGTGGGGGCCCTATCGGCCCTATCTCGTTCACCAGCGAATACTGATGTTGGACAAACAAATAGAGCATGCCGTAGACAACTTTAGCAACGAATGAGTAAAAAACAACAAAGTGGTTGCTCATTTGGACACACACACACACATATATATATAATATAAGACTTCCAATCACATGCCTGGGCGCTGCAAACCCCGCAGTTTGTGAAACCGCGCCGCAACAGAATCAAAAGGCCCGATACAAAGGGGAAACACCCAAGCTGAGGCCCCCAAGCTGTTCACAAAGCTGTTGCAACAGGATCTCAAGGCGACCCCGGCGTTCCTCGTGAACGCGCGTGGCTCTGGCGGTGGAATCCTTTGGCATGTATATTTTTGGGGGTACTCAAAGGTAGGGAGGAGCGGTTGGTGGAGGTGGCTGTGCTGTGCCTGGCAGCAGTGTTTTTTCCCGACGAGCAGAAGGACCAAAAACATGTCTAAACCCTCCACAAAATAATCTTAAATAGGATGTCAACTTATATGATTCTATTATACTCCGTTATTTGCAAACTTATTTAATGTCAACATTATGTTAAACATACGTAAATTCTTGTAGAATGCACTCATCAGCTGCTCCACTCACGACGGAAGACGTCGGATGTATTGGATCAGTGTCCTGCACCGTCTGCGTCTCCTCGTTGCCCCACCAGTAGCTTCGAGGCCTCGATCGAGACAGGACAGGACATGTCCGAGCGCGTTCGGAGATGTTTTTCGGGTCACTGGACATCACCCCCGTATGAAGAGGTGTTCATGGTATTTTCAATCCAAATATTAAATAGTCAAGAGATCTCAAGAGTCTACATTTACATGTATAATGATCCAGAGCTATATGTTTTTAACTTTTGAATCATCGTGTCATATCGTGTCGGTCTGAAGACAATAGCGGACCTTCCTGCGAACGTCCACTCCAATGACCCCCTCAGATCCACTTCCCAAAGCAACGACCGCAAACGTCCACCATGATTCACTTCCAAACATCCACAGGTCTACTCTCAGTTCTGTGAAAATGCCACAGAGTTGGTGGGATCCCACACTCTCCGGTTCACTGGTCCCCTCACCGCATCAAGTCGACCACGCGTTACGCTCCGCGTTCTCCGCTCGTCAGAAACCGCTCGCTCGCGTTCTCCGCTCGTCTCCGCATCTGGTCGGGCTTCTCCGGTCTTCTGTCTCAGTGGTTCTCCTCCCGTCTCAGTGGTCGTTTGAGGACATGGCAGGGCGGGAAGTTGATATCGCACCTGGGCAGCGAGTGAGGGCGATGCAGCGAGTGGAGACTTTCCTTGGCCATTCTGGGAGACCGGACGGCGGTGTTCAGTGGATGGAGGGTTTGAGTTGAGTTCTCCCAAACATGACTAATGGGACTGGTCATGGGACTGGCCTATTGATCTATATAGATTGGGGGTAGATTTGCAAAAACATACTGACTGCCTGACTGCTGCATTGCACAGCACTGGCCTGGATTTGCACAGGCTCCACCTGTGTTTGTTTGGCTCATGTCAAAAGGCATGGCCAGACTTCAAACCACAAACCAGCCGCTCGCCCGCTTTTGCACGAAGCGGGCGATGCATGGTGTGTTGTCTTTGCAGCATCTGACAGCATCGAGCCAGGTGGTCTTCCAGGAATTCTCAGCCAGCACATGTGCTTTTTTCATTTGTTTCGCACATGTCGTGACAAACCTGCACCCCTTATACTGTCAACCCAGATCTAGTAGCACACGCTGAACCAGGTTGCTGGCGTGCACCCTGACCAACACCAACCGGACATGGATGATGTAGTGCTCCAGGGGAGGCACTTAAAAACTCCTTCAAAGAGCACCTGCTGGGGTGCAATGAGCCCATCCAATCTTCCGTAAGATACAAAATTTATATATACATGATATGATCTTGCAGCTTTGACAGGGGGTGCCAAGTCATCCATTTTGAGACTTGAAGCGGTCGAGCCAAGCCGTGGGACAAAAGATCCACTTGAGAGCTAAGCACTGACAACCTATTTTTACCTTACCTTGCACCAATGAAACTAAACAAAATAAAGCAACATAATTTTAATGAAACATTCTTGTCAGATATAGGGTCCCCTCATTGTGCTCGAGGAGCAGGAGACAGAAAGCAATTGAGAAAACAAGTGCCAGGCTTTTGGGCGAGGCTGGGCAAACAAAGGTTTTCGGTGGACAGGCAAAGTCACCCTCTCGTCTCTTTTTCAAATGACCCGACCTGACTTCAAAACTCCTCATTTTCTGCCCTTTCCCTGTCTTTTGTGGGTACCGGAAGCAGGACACATGGGGAACACAAGCTCTTGGGCCGCAGCTGGGAACACAAATGTTGCCGGTTCATTGTACTCCCATGTATGACCTGCCTCCTCTTTCCGGCCTAACTATTCTTTCCAGACTGCTCAGAACCTGTTGCGGCTTTGAAGGTGCCTCAGGGAATCACCTCAAAAGCAGCGGCATCACGCGCACAGGTTTCACTCTAAAAATAACCGAACCTGACTCTTTGAGGGCGTAGGGGGTTGTAAGTAACGGTACACATTCCTCATTGTAGAGGAAATGTGCACCAAAGATACCATGTGCCCTTTCAATATATGGGCATGTAGTTTAATAGGCCGACACCCAAGCAATGGGGTTTGGGATGGTTTTGGTGTATGTTCCTTTTGCCAGGTCGAACTGGGAGTCTCCCTATTTTTATACACACCCATATATTGAACATTATGACCCTGATTTTTTTCTTATCACCCTCGAGTTCACCCATGGCATGAGCCCACAATACCCATGCATTGGCAGTGGCTTGTAGTTTGTTAGATTTCTATAGGTATGTAACAAAAGAAAAAACGTGTGGAAACAAGTCTACATGAATGATGTATACAATGTAATGAGCTTCTCAATTCCGGATATATATATATATATCAACAGTCGAGATCCTTGCAAGAGATCCGTTTGTGGAAGAGAAAACTCCCTGGTCGCTTGGCCAAGAAGATCCTGGTCTGCGCCGTTTGGCGTCTGAAATCCGACTCCGCGCTCTCACTTGCCCTTCCTCTTGATGGACTGTGCCAACTGGAAAGCCTGACCAAACAGATGGCACCCACGATCAGAACAAGGCACCGGATATCACTGGATTCCACCCTCTCAAAGCACTGCAATACTGCACTGCACTACATGCATATATAATCATATATATATATATTGTATAATATATATAAGTAGATTTCATTGTATTTGATCCCTAATTCATTTTATTTGATCTCCAGATTTGTTTGGAGAGAGCTTTCCTTGTCAGGTGGCCACATGGTGATCCAAACACAAATTCAAGCAGCCACTTCGCACATCCTCGCCCTTTCTCTTTCAGCTAGCTAGATGGTGCATCATGTTCTTTCACATGCATCTTTTGTTGATGCAGTTCTTCCCACTGCAAAGCACGGCCCAGCATCAAACCAGGAGGTTCCATTTGAACTGACTAGTGCAGTAACTGGTCTTTGGAATTGAGGTGCCTGCATGTCAATCCCCAAGCTGAGCTTATTGCTTATTGCAAAAAACCCCCCACACACACTCCATTGGAGTGCATCCGTTGGCAAAATCTCATCCACACTCAAGTGTGGATTCACACTAGACTCACTAGACCAAGCGTAACACTTCGTTGGCTTCGAGCGAGATATCTTGGCGCAAAAAATAGAGCGGTTTTCCTTGGTTGGCGACGTGCAAACAAAACAAAAAATGATGGCAGGCAGGAAGTATGGAGGCTTTCCTAGGTGACATGCACACAACCAAGAGCCAATGGTGGCCCATGCCTCATTCCTCCTGTGGCCAGCCAGCTATGGCCAAGTTGCTTGGCATGAGCTCCTGGACAAGGAATGGCAGGCCAGCAGGAAGATTTTTCCCAAAGAACAATGAACAACATCAGTTGTTGTGTGGCCCAAAAAGACATGATGGCATCCTTCTCAGCCTTCATGTATTGCACACGCCATGCTCGATGCAGCACAGGACTTGCATTCACATCCTGCCAGTTTCAACTGAGACACCAGGTTCATGATTGGTTCATATTGGTTCACATTGTGTTGTTTGGATGCTGCACTCACCACTGCACCTCACGAGCGAAAACGCTTGCTGCTGTGGAATACTTCAGGTTGGAAAGCGAAGGTGTCCAGGAAAACACAGGCACATTCTTCTGGGGTTTGATGATGAAGTAGTCCTTACCTCGCACAAGGACACATTATTTCAATATATGATATGGGGTCATTAATCTAACCTGCAATGGATCATGCAATGCAGCATGGGATGGCCTGACTTGGTCTCGTCTTTTGGCCCTGGTCTGTCACATTCATGACAGTGGATTTGGGTATCAACCACATTAGCCTCCTCCAGCTCATGCAGCAATGCCCTGATTGAACAGGGCGACGCATCGGTTGTGCTCTTCGAGCCTTCGGCGGCCATCTCCAACACAACCTGGTCACTGTCAGACTCCCAGCGGCAAGGGACAGTGAATGCCAAGGGATCGCCTGCCATCAGATTGATGTGGGGGCTAGAGTTATCCTGTCAATGAACCTTAGATTTAAGTTTTGGTAGTGGCTTGACTGCCATTGGATTGGTAAGTTCAATGAACCCTAACATTGGTTTGGGGGTGTTTTGACAATGAACTGTTGACCATTGACATATCAGTTGACGAGATACTGTTTGACAGCACCTCTTTTCTTGGCCACTGCGAACGTCTAGGTGTCCGGCGTCCCATATATATACTATCCAACCTTCTGTTGAACAGTAGCCCCGAATTGCGGACACTGAGCTCGCCTTGGCCTGACCCATGCCCAGGTACAGCATACTGCTATGCAAAGCAGGTACCGCATCTAAACTAACCAAGATGGAGTGTTCAACAAGCATTTGGTTCTGGAACATTGATGAAACCATCTCCCAGAATACTGCAAAGCACAGCACTCTTGGCCAAACATTTCAGGCTGCAAAATTTATTCCCAGCTGTTTCTTTGGGAACTTGGTAGGACCTCACTTGGTGCGACGACGGCTCCTCTCACTATTGGACATCTTGCTCACTGAAGCCATGCGAGTCTCGCAGGTTTGCCACCTGAGATAGGAAGAAACTCTTATAACCCCAAAAAATTGTCTCTTCATGTTTCTGATGTTTTTCAGGTGAGACCTCTTCTGTGAGAACTTCAGGGACTTCATGGGACAATGACACTGTCACAAAGGGGCTCTGTCCAGTTGTTTGTTCACAGTTGGTTGAGTTTTTTGTCTTTCGAAACAAAGACAGGCTATTGTTTGCAGCAGAGTTTCCCTTCACGAGCTTTCTTCAAGATCTCTTTGCCGCTTAGCTCCGGAAATTCCTTCTTCAACTTCTTCTGCTGTTCATGGATGTAAGCCCAATAGGCACCACGCATATCATCAGCCCCGTCCGTCTTGAGGACTTCAGCCTTGCCGCCACCGAGCTCTGAAGCATCATCGGCCTCGGCAAGCTCCTCGGAGAGGACTTCTTCGCCATCCAAGGCCTCGTCCTCGACGTCCTCGACTTCGACTGGGGACTCCTCAATCAAGACAATCAGATTCCAAGTGGAAAAAACATGAGGAAACCTTTTGCAGACTGCAAGTCATGTAATTCTTACTGTTTGTTTGTCAAATGAAATGACCATTTGAGCTTACCATTTGGGCTCCTGGGTTGGCGGGATCTCTTTGGGCTTTCGAGTAGCAGCAGGCTCAGGGGTCAAGGAACATAAACATTTGGGATGACGAATGAATGCACAAACAAACACAAACAACTGCATGCCCTGTACTGTAAACACTTCAACTCCTGGCCTTCTTCATGGTTTTGGCCCTAGCCTTCTTCTTGGGGGTATTGATCTTCTTGCTCACCCTGGAATCCTGACCCTGTTCACTCTCAAACGTCAACTTCCTTTTGCCGGTTCCCTTTTCAGGTGCTCCAGATGGTGCAGGTGTGGCCAAGCTATCTAAAAGCCTTTGTGCTGCTTCCCTGGCAGCTGCACCTCTAGGCTTCCTTTCCTTGGGAACCTTAGCCTTACCCTTAGCTTTTGCTGCGCTTGCTGATGCCTCCTGCTTTGGTTGCTCCTGTGTTTCTTCGGCAAGTGCTTTGAAACGGTTCTCCTTCTTTGTTTGTTTCAGTTCAGCCAGTGCTTGACTCACATCCCCCTTCAAATTGTGAACCTGTTCTGGACTCAAAACCTTGTGCTGATTCTGGCCATTAACAGCATGTGTCTTGAGAGGCAGCTCATTGTTTGGAGCGGATGGCAGGGCCGCTTGCTGAGCTGGAGGGGTCACGATAGGCGGTGTGCGATTGACCTCAGAGCCAAATGGATAGATCAAAGAAGACATCGATAAAGTCAGCTGAGAAGACATCCACAAGACATCAAAAAGAACTTTTCTGACTTCCAATTTGTGAAAGTATTGCTGTAGTGATTCTGGTTGAAACTTGTTGGCCTAAGAAAGAGACTTGAGCCGGCGGGGTCTCAAGAGCACCAGGGCTTGGATCCAACATCTGATCCAAATCCTGCACACCCATGAGTTTATTTTTCTTTGGCCCTCACCATTGAAAACATTTCAAGCATAATATTAGACAGTCAGTTCAGGGGAGTATGTCCCGGTCCTTTTTGAAGCCATGCTTCGCCAAGACATCAGACAGGTTCATTGCCATCAGTGATCTAATTGGTTCTATGACCCCTATAGCAAACTATCCAACAGTGAACTCCGAGATCCAAAATGCTGCTGAGGTTATTGACGCACTGAGTTCAGGTTTGTGCTGATATGACTACTAAAGCATTATCGAAGCACATAGGATCATTCCATTTATATAAAGGAACAATCAGTTTGGCCTTCCCCAACATGTTCACGTGTCATCTTGGCCAGCTTCTCCGGTTTCAAGAAGTTGGATTTGCCGTGGCAAATGAGGAACTCCGTGGTGTCCAAGTCAATCCCCTGGTGAGCGACTTGAAGGATTAGAAATACCCCCCAGCTCAATCACAGTTACTTCACTGAGACTTTGGTTTACTTCACTGCGATAACCTCGCAAAGAGCAGTTCCATGACTGACCCGCTATATAATGTATAAAATATTATATTATATTATATATAAGTAAGTGTTGCAAGCACAAGTCCACCGACTATTGAAGCAAAGGGCTAGCCAAAGTTTGTAGCACTGGCCAGACACTATCTCCTTTTTTTCGCCATCCCTCCGAGAAGCTGTTGTGAGAAACAAAGAAAGGCCTGGTTGCTTTGCTGAAATCTTCTGTTCCACGATGTACGCATCGAGCAACGCTTCGATTGTCTTGGGTTCTGAGGTCCACATGGGAGGTGCAAGCGATTTCTCCTCCACATCTTCTGCCAGCACCAGGGCCTCCGAGACTTTGACCACGTTGGAGCAAAACCTGTGGGGACACAATGGTCTAAGGATCAAACCAACAATGATTTGTCATTCATGAGTTTACCACGACGATGAGAGAAGAAAGCAACATGAAAATAAAATATTGATCATTGACAGCAAAAGACTTTTGATCGAAATCAAGCACAAGTTGTCGCCCTTGCCCTCCATATAGAGGGCTGTCGAGGTGCAAAGACCTTACCTCGTTGCTCAACTCGATTCTGTAGGCGGCCCAACCACGCTTGTTTGGATCCTTGCTCACGGTCGCTAGCTTCAAGGGATACTTGGAGATGTCCAACTCCACTTCTGCTGGGGGAGAGGGATCATAGCGGCGCACATTCCCCAGGATTTTGCACTGATCTTTCCAATCCTCTCAGAGTAAACAGGAATCAGGTCAAACTCCAGAATGGGGGTGTTCTTTGTTGCTGGGAAAAACAAGACCCTTCCCAAAGACATTCTCAAAACAAATTCATGTCCTCCATCAAGAAGAAGGCCACCAATTTCTCACAGTAGCATGTTGTCGCAACATCGGTAGACAGCGAGAGCATCCTCGCTTGGTAGCCTGGAATCTTGTCTTTCAACTGCAAAACCACTTTCTCCAGGCACCCGTCGTAGGGCGAGAGATTGAGGATATAAATTTTCTCCCCCACAGATGACCCATTGAGCAAGCTCTTGAGGACTGCTTCTGGCAT